AAGGGGCTGTACACTGTTCCTCCCCAGAACGTCAAATCGGCACCAGCCCTTAATCCAGTGAGGAACTCGTTCGCAAAGTAGCCAATCCCAACATTTCGAATGTTGACCCACCAATTTCCACTGGGTTCCTATTGTTATGGAACAAATAAATCAGTGTTGTTCTCAAAAATTACTAGTTAATAATCATATGAAGTTTTGAGTTTACCACGGTCAAACTCATGTGGGTTCCATATTGCGGCCCGTCAATTACGGAAACATGGCTAAAAGTAGAACCAAAAGTGGCGTAGCGATTTACTTGAACAAAGCCAGGACAATCCATATTATAGCATCCTGATATTTTCCCATTACTTACTTGCTGAGAGATAAAAAGGGTTTTAGTATTAGTAAGGCAATGGTAATACTAATAGTGATAGTAGACTAGAAACAAACAAAAGTGGGATGGGATGGGATGAAGAAAATACATCCCAAGCTGCGAACAATCTTGCTTGCCCATCTCCGAAATAAAGAGGGTTGACCTGTAATCAATAATATTAGTTTAGAGTTGACAGTATTGCAAGTCGGCAAGTATTACGTAGGCCTTGGGATAACAATGAACTTACCATCCAACCTAGTTGGATAGTGCCTGCATTACCAGGCATTCCATTTGAAACCTTAATGATTGCTCCGCTAAATTGGTGGTCTTTCACCTTTGGTTCGTATATAATCAACTTCCCACCCTCCGGGCGCAGAACGATTCCAGCATACAATGAATTTAATTATATGAATCCTTTCTACAGTAAATAAAAGAGAAAACAAGATTTTGGACTGCTGTAAGATTTAGCCATGATATATTACATGTAGTAGCAAGGATACTTACATCATAACCAGTGCCACCGGATTCTTTGATTGGAAAATCTATTGATAGGTTTTTCCCAAACTTATTATAGTCAAAGGATCTGATCATGTTTTCTTTCCCAACTGTCCTTCGGATGGGAACGGTTCCTTTAGGACACCCTTTTCCCAACCCAACTAGATTTGCAACGTTAGTTGATGAGGAAGACTCGGTGCTAAATGAAGAATTTTTCAAATTTCTTTGCAAAGCTGAACTAGGCCTCATCTGTTTTGACATAAAGATCAATATTAGTAGATGTAGTTCATGGAAACAAATTGAATTGCATCTCAATGACAACAAAACTAAAGAAAACTTTAGTTGTTGCTAATAAATCTTTGTAAGAAATAATAATGAGAATATAGCAGATATGTGTGGAAAAACATTATTGAAAAAGGGATCAAGAACCTCAATTTTGTGATTCTTAAGCAAAGGATGTAAAAGAGTTAGTTGTCTGTGTATATCCACACAATCAAAGATGTCCCCAAATTTTGTCTGCAACAACAAATATTATGTTAGCATTGACATGATCTATCTGATCAGTTAT